ATTACATCATTAATCTCGTACCCAGCTCTCTTGTTGATGTAGACTAACGAAGCTTATTTGTGCACGTGATCGCCTGTCAGAAATGTGACACGCCTTGAAAGAGCGCATGCTTGAAATAAATCCTCAGAATGACCGCCGTGTTTTCATGGATAATAGAAAGACTCTTTCTATTATCCATGCTCAGAGCAGTACGCGCCACCTTTTCTCACGCGAGATTCTTTTTTACCCTTTTCAAAAGTCTTTATCATGATTCCGAGATAGAGTTTTAAAACGAATTTAAAGATAAGATCAAAATGGTTTTATTGAGACGGAAAACTACTCACTATTACAATATTTATTTGAACAAAACTAAAGACTTTGCAAAGGCTGCACGCCATAGCGCGCACAGAAGACAACACTCACGTCATTCCCTCACGATCTAGCCAATAAAAAAAAATTGAATTTTCTTACTTGACCAGATTTCGTCAACAAGAGATCTGGGTACGAGATTGATAATATCATATCAGTCATGCTCAAAGAAAAACGCCCTAAATAAACATTTATTTATACCTTGAGTTCTCTTGTACCCCTTCCTTCTTTTCTTTTTAAAAACTATTTCTTTTGGTGACTTGGTTTTTTCCACTACAGTAGCTTCAATCCTTGCCAAGTCTCTGCTGTAAAAAAAAAAAACACCAAAAAAGGAAATCAACGACAACAAGATGCATCAGAGTTGAAACTCTTTGCATTATAACAACTAACGTACACCCTGTTAACCCATTTTATTGTCATTTTGTAGCTGGCTCCACAAGTGTGCAAGATGAAGCGAATCCTTTCTTCTGATAGGCTACCCAAGCGGCCAAGATGGGCCTATCCTGCCCCCTTTTGAATCGCCTACTTTGCATTTGACCATATAATATATTTTGTTTTTTGGCCAGACCCGTTCGGTCAAGATAGCTGAATGTACAGGCTTCGTTCTTCTATTTACCTTTTATAGATCTCTTTTTCGTCGTGGTCGAAAAAAAAAACGTAAAAAAAGAACTTGGCAAATATCCAGTATCTTGACCTGGTGCTTGATAAATACATGTACACTGAATGTTTCAGGTAAGTGAATTGCATTAAGTGTTGCCAAAAGACACTCAGTAACCCAAGCAAATGTTCATAGCACAGGAGCAACCTTTCCATTTGAGAACTGCAAAATTCTAGGGATTACAGAAAAGGCCAGCCCGCGAGCAGGCTCACTTGTGCTAGTTTGGGGACAATTTTGGCGGAGGAGCTATGCCAAAATTTTCCCCAACTAGTACAAATGAGCCTGCTCACAGGCTAAGAAAAGGCTTGCTTGTTTCCACACCCCTGGCCGGGTTTCTCTTCTTTTTTCCCCCCTATTTTCCCTTACGCTCGACGCATATAATTTAATGTACTCGCCACTACCTGAATGCCTATGAGGAAAAGAATAGGCAAATGGTTTAGACATACTTTGCTTGGTACTTTGTACTTACGCAACTAAAGGAGTTCCTATCACGGAGAAGTTTTCTCCTCCAACCATCAAAACCTGTCATACAAAACAATCAAAAGAAGATAATAAAATAACATCACATCTTCAAGAATGTGTTCTAGTTGTAGTCTTTCATTTTGTAGTCACAAATAAGTTGCAATCCTTTCGGCTCACTGAAAATACTGAAAATAATTTCACCCACTTCTTAGAACTAAATCACTAGTGGCGTTAGACAATTCCTGATGCCCAAAGCGGTGTGGGCTACTTCTGTAAACAAGTCCTCCACAAACTTGCACTAACAAAGGTGTAAGCCAAGGACAAAGGATAGTACATTGTAATCTTAATCCTACATACCCCAGCTTCAACTTCAACTTTATTTTACACTGTTTATAAGGCATTAACATCAACAATATTGTTTGAAAATTATTTGAAAACATATTTACACGCATTTACAGATCTTTACTGTAAGGATATGTAAAAGAAATAGACAATCTAAGAAGGAACATGCACAGTGACAACAGCTTTCACATTGACCACTGTCATAGCTGTAACTCATGAATAGACCTGACGGTAGTTATTCAAATGTTATTAAAAAGTTGTTTTAGTGGTAAAGAGGACATAATTAAATCATCTAACTTTTTCAATGCGTATCCTCTCTCCAGTGTCTGCATCAATTCTGTTGATTACTATTGTATCATTGATGGTAATCTTAAATTGTCTTCCTCCTGAAAATGAAAACACTCACAGTCATATAAGGTCAAATTTCTAAAATTTCAAAAGAGGAAATACACCAGTGGAACTTTTAATAATGGATGTGTTCATCATAGACTACTTCAAAATTGCTTAACTCAACCAAATGTTGGTAAGCAGTAGCCTAGTAAGAACTGTTCAATATTCCAAGCACCTGACACAGTCATGATACTTACCTATATGAACTACAGCAAATATCTGACCACTGCTTCCACTTTTTAGCATTTCATCTTGAACGCCTTTAATAACATCTGTGATTATTCAAATCAGTTGGTATGTTGGACAAAAATACATCACATCTTTATATGTTTCATTCAACTCAACAAATTAGTCTGCTCCCAGTGCGTGGGTCTTCATAGCTCAATTGGTAGAGCACTGCAGCACTAATAGGCCATGGGTTTGAATCCTGCTGAAGTACTGAACTTTTTCTCAGTATAATTAGCAATTGCTTAAATTGCAATTACCACTGCAACGATCATACACGTATCTTCATTCACAAAATACATAATGTTATTACTCTTCTATACACGACTCTTCTTACGGCATTTTAGAAAACAAGAAAGATACTTTAATTAAATTTGTCTCTCAGTTGTAATGAAGCCTTGTCATCAAACCTGGTCCTTGTGCAAGTGTATCAAACCACTGAGAGAAATACAGCAAACAGAAGCCAAACACAAATAAATAATGATATCTACACTGTACAATGCCAGTACCACTTTGACTAAAATCTAGTAAGAGACTATACAACGGTTTAAAAATCTGATACATCACACCAACTTGTGAACTTCCTAAGGTACCTGATGAGGGCGGACAATTTTGCTCATCATCTTCCTCTCCTCCGGCTTCTGTCAAGGAAGTTGCTGGTCCATTACTAAGACTACGAACATCAACATTGCCAAGAGGACCCAAAGGGCTGATTGCAGAGAGCTGAGCTGCGACTAGTGCAGTTGTTGTGTAGGTCTTAAAACTGTTGTAAATGAAAAAAGGTCATTAAATAAGTGGGACCCTAAGTTGGGCTGCAACAATACATTATGCAAAGGTGAGTATACTCTGCAACATTAATTTCTTCTCATGATATGAATATGGTACATCGACAAGTTTGTGAAATTACTTTCATTACCAAAGCTCTACATTTTAACCCTTTTAAAGCAACAAGGCAAGATGGAAGCAAGACAGAAACAAATGAAAAAGCAAACCATCCCTGCTTCGTGCACTTCTCATCTAATTCAAGAAAATGGACAAGATGGCAAACAAATGTGTCTACACTTATTACTTTTTGGACAAACAGCTTACTGCTCACATGTATCAATCACATAAAAAGCAAAAACGAACAGTAATTAAAAAAACCTCTAAAACAAGGTTAAAGTTCATTAAACCTATTATTATTCTTATTAAAAAATGTTGAAAATTTGACCTCTATAAACTGTAAATGCTAAAAAAAAGCAACATCTTTTCACATGGTTGTCAGTAAATATAGACAGTTAATTCCATTGACACCCTCAAGAAGATGGATTTTTTAGGTTTCATGGTTGTAAGTGTGCACAATATGGTACAAAGTCTATTGTCTAAAATAAATTTAGAAGAAATTACCATGAGCCACTTAAATTTTTCGACAAAAAAAAAAAGACAACAAAAAGACTTACCTATTTTTTACAAGGTTACCAGCTACCATTGAATTACTGTGAACACCTTGAAACTTGTGGAGTTTTACACCACTGATGTAGAGACCTTGAATTAAAGTAGGATACACATGGGGTAATGAGTAAAAGTAGAACAGGTTTCACTGCATGATAATACACCTAGCAACTATGTACACGGTCATTACCTTAAAGAATGCCTCAAAGCATAGGCATTATCCTATATTTAAAAAATACATACATGTACTTACATACACTGTTTACAGGTAGCCAGGAGGATCATGAGGTTATCCCTATATTTATATATCTGTGTGATTTTGCTTAAAGTTGCCTGCTAAGTATTCGCTTGAACACTGGCATCGCCCATGTTCAAGCCAGTGTAGTCGGAAAAAAACCAGGGGGCTTAGTGTCTTGCTAGGTTTCAGCTGAGAGCCCAGGCCCAGACCTATCCATGGGTGGGTGGCTTCCTTGTTTTGTGTGAAAACAAGGGGGGTAGGGAGGGGAGATTTTGTCACTTTGATTAGAGTTTTATGTCAGAAAGCAGTGCAAAGTCAGAGAATTTTTCCTGTGGCCTACAGGCTAGGCCAGCCAAATCAATGCGATGACTCATAATCATAACACTACTAGCAAAGCTTGAGGGAAGTGATTGACTAGTCATAAGCTTCATGGGTGGGGAGGGTGAGTAATGGCTCCTTGGACTTGACCATCTAGGGACTCAGTACAGGCACCTTGTATGAAATCCAGACAGATATATATATATATGAAGAACCTACCCAGCCCAAGACAGTTTGGCCACACCACCAGGGTCTATGCCTCCTATTCCTTTCGAACAGTGGTGTGTGTTCCTTTACGTCTCACAAGAACCAGATAAGTGAAAGTACTGTGAGATGTGACCTACAGTTTTTTTGTCTTTATCTGAGAAGACTAGAAATTCTAACCATTTGCAGATGTCATCACAAAGGCAGCATTTTCTTCTCAGTTATTTAAAGACCCTGAGTGTTGGTGCAGTTGGGATTTAAACAGGTGACCTCCTGCTCAGCAGACTGGTGGTTATGTATATTTTTTGAATAGTAGGTTAAGTTGAATTGAATTGAATTTTCTTAAAAAAGAATACTTTTGGCCTAGTGGTCTACTGGCAAAGTCGTCTTCTTTCATGCTTTCGGTACTGGTAAAAATACTTGTAAATATTGTAAGAGCTTGTTGAGTTCTGCCATACTCTGCATACTGTTCAGTTCAGTTAAATTTATTCTTTTTGCACCAAAAAAGAGCTAAAGTGGCAGGGAAGCCCAGAAAAATGAAATCTGAAGGTTTCACGCTTTGTTGGCACTTTTGAAACACTTGTCCGTAAGGTCCAAATTTTGTCGGCTTCTTCGAAGAAAAATCCAAACCCCCTGTTCAAAAACCTGTCATCCTTAGGTGGAGTGCAGATAAAAAATGGAACGCCCTATACAGCCTGGGAATCCTAGTTTTCTTCAAGCTGTTTTACGTCACTCGTGAAGTTTAAAAGTTCTTAAGATAACATATATATATACAGCTATATATATACATATATATATATCTTGTATATATATATATATACAAGATATCTTAAGATAACACTTAAGATGAGCAGGAAGATTTTCCCACAGCAGCATACATTTGTTATGCATGCAGCAATCTCATACTATTTCACACAAACTATAAATTTGTTTGTATGAATACAGCTGAAACATGTATGTATAGTTAATGTATGGTCTGTGGAGAAATTTTATTGAGACACGTATCTCTAGTTTCAGAGACAAAGCCTTCATTGTGGATAAATGCAAGTTATGTCAGCAAAATAAGAGAAAAAATACGAACCTATTTTAATAGATTTCAAGGGTGCACTTGGACCAATTTTCAATTAGTCTAGAAAGTATTTATAGTTTCTATTGAGAAAATATTGGCTTTCGTTACTTTTAGGGGACGGTCACTCTAAAGAGGAAAACAACTAACTGAATGCATGAACAAAATGACGAGTTTACGTGACAACGTGACGAATTTACACGCCAAATGTAGAGTGTAGAACGAGAAAAAACATTAACTTTTTTTGGTTATTTTCTATATGAACCTCTCTTTAATCTAAGGTAATTGGCCAAATCCAAAAAATTACGAACAAATGTCCTGTCTGCGATATTCATTGTTCGTGGCTAAAACAATGCATCCAGAAATGGCCAGGATTTGCATTTTTTTCGTTCTTTATTGTTAAACATAACACATTATTTTTTTTTGTGAAAGGTATGAACCCATGAGTCATTTCAAAAGTAGGTGAAGTCACTGTCAACAACAACAGTCCTATTCAGGACTACATTCACCCGGACGATCAAACTCAACCTACATGGCACATTAGTTGCATTAAACTCGTCATTTTGCTCGCGCACATACTTCAGTACTCGACTTTCAGAAAAAAATCTTGGGGCCAACTGGCCCCCAAGTTTTCATTTTTGGTCGCCAGAACAAGTATTCTAGTCGCCAAAAATTATATTTAAGAACTAATGGGATAAAATAAACTTAACATCTTTAACTTAGCCTTAACAGAAAATGAATGGTTTAGACTTCCTTTGAACTTTCTTTCGAATGGTTTTTGCTGACGCTTGATTACCAGCCGGTGTTCTGTAAAATGAATCCGCACTCAAGCGTAAATCTCCTCAAACAGGTATTCAAGCTTAAGGTTCAGGAAATGGAATACACATTAAAAAAATAAAATTCAGGAATCACAAAAAAACTTATTTGGGTTATGAAAGAACAAAATCTGCAAAATTTGTTTTGCGTCCCATGTATTTGCATGTTCAGAACTGAACATCGGTGAAACTTCATCTATTGCGCGGTTGCCTAACACGTGATCGAAAGTCTCCAGAAAGACCAGAAAGAGGAAACGTTGCTAATGTTTTCGGGCAAAGAAGTTGATTTTGCAAGAAGTCTGTTAGACAAACAGCATGACTTCAACTTTACTTAATTAGAAGTCAATAAAATACGGCAGAGCTTTTATTTGCGTCGTCACGCTCAACAGAAATTTGCGTAAAGTTGTTTACAAGAATTGCGAAGCTCGAGAAGTAAGCGCTGTTCGTTCTCGATTAGCTTCGATTAGCTTGACCTTTTATCAGATTAATCTGTTATCGAGTCCGCAATCGAGATACATGTTCGACTTAAAGAAATTGTTTTAAATATCGCTGCGCTTAAAGTCATTCCCGGAGAAACACGGGACGATCTGTTGAGAATTGCGATCGATTTGTCCGAAAGTCGATTAAAGTCTTCCGTCGAATTCATTCATTTCACAATCCTCTTTCAAGTAAACGTAGATTAGCGTGTTGGAAGAAATCGTTAAAGCCTTTAGACAAATCGTTAAAACGTTTAGACAAACCATTAGAGCGTTTGGGCAAAACGTTAGAGCGTTAGAAAAACCGTTAGCTATCCGTTAGTTGTGTAAAGGATAACAAATTATCATTAGTGTACGTTTACCCAAAGAAGAAAGTCACCTATCTTGGGGGCCAGGTTGGCGACCAGGCGTGAAAATTTAGTCGCCACTGAGTAAAAGCTGGTCGCATTGGCGACCCCACGGGTCGCAACGTCGAGCCCTGATTAAATAACTTCTTGTCCTCTTTAGAGCGACGGTCCCTTAAAAGTAACGAAAGCCAAAATATTGAGAAAATACCGTCCACTGCGCTTTTCCTGCCGCTCCTAGTCACTGTTGCTCTGAGTAAATTCGCACACCGCAGAGCGCTTCTGGACGCCATCTTGAATCTTTTGACTTTTCATGGTTGACACCGCTGGTCAATTCCCTATCCCAGTCCTTTGCTCGGTTCAAACTAGTTCGCGGGGCCTTGCGTGGAGCCTCGGTGGGGATGGCGCAAATAGCGCACAACAAATAGCGAAGACGTTCCCTCCTCTTTCTCTCTCCTTCACTTTCTCCTTATTTGTTTCCGCTTTCTGGCCTGCGAGCAGGGCTCACTTATGCGAGTTCCGGGAAAGTTTTGGCGGCGGAGCCTCCAACGCGAAAAAAATTCTCGCAGGCTACCCGCTCTCTGACATCGCGCCTCACTACAACCTCGTCCCCAGGGGCTTTTCCCTGGCTCCAAAGTCAAGGAAAAGTATGGTGGCCGATATAGACATAAGACGAATAATAGATGGCAAAACGTATACAAACTTAACAAAAAACACCCCAACTTAATTAACATCATGTCAACTTAATGATACCCAGGCAAACTTAATAAAACGCATGCAAACTTAGTAAAGAGCAAGCAAACTTAATGATACGCGTGCAAACTTAGTAAAGAGCATTCAAAGTTAATAATACGCATGCAAACTTAATAAAACGCACGCAAACTTAGTAAAGAGCATTCAAAGTTAATAATACGCATGCAAACTTAATAAAACGCATGCAAACTTAGTAAAGAGCATTCAAAGTTAATAATACGCATGCAAACTTAGTAAAGAGCATGCAAACTTAATAATACGCATGTAAACTTAGTAAAGAGCAACCAAACTTAATGATACGCAAGCAAACGTAATAATATGCATGCAAACTTAGTAAAGAGCATTCAAACTTAATAATACGCATGCAAACTTAATAAAGCGCGTGTAAACTTAATAATACGCTTTCATACTTAACGGAACATGCGCCACCTTAGCAAAGAGCATACAAACTTAATTTTGTGCAAACGTACTAAAACGTGCGCTAATTTAACAAATCACATGCGAACTTAATAATGTGAGTGCAAATTTAGTATGTTGTTCACTTACAAACTTAATAAAATGCTTGCAAACTTGAGAACTTACTAATATACTTGAGCTTACGTAATGAAACGCGCGCAAACTTAGCTATATGGCTACAAACTTTAAACATCACAAACCGTACAAGCTTATTACAAACCGCATGCAAATTTCACCAAATAAACGGATACCGAGCCTGGTTGTTAAGCATATACGAACCACTTGCCAGTTCTTAACACTTCCCGAGGCAGCTTGTCCGCAAAAGGTAAGGTTTTTTGTCATTTTCTATTTTATTTCTTGGTCAAAATGAAGGACAGTTTAGTTGTAAGGCTTATATTCCATTTCTTTTGGATAATTATGTGAAGAAAATTGCGAGTTATAGCTGTCGGTCGAGGGAGAGCGTTTCAAAAGGGAGTAAACTATAATGATGCATGGCTTTACAGCTGTAAATGTTTGATTCTTTTTTCACAAGATCAGCCGATTGGCCGTCGTGATGTAGACCAGCAAAAGATACATGCCGTGTGAAACTCTATTTCTTTTTTTCCCCACAGGATATCCGCCCAAGTTTTGGTAAAAGACCTAAGTGACTATGATTACTATCAGTCGGTTAACCTTGTGTATCATGTTTGGAATACTGGCAAATAAGGCGATGTCGTTGCCAAGAAGCCCAATGTTAACCAATTTTCACTCACTACAAGAATGTATTCTGGGATACTTCAATGCTGGATATACTTACAAAAAAATAGTATTTTTCTTGGGATCAGCTTACGGGGTGTTTATGACAGTCAGGTCACTACGTTATTTGCTAAACAAAGTGTATGGTGTGCGCAGACGGGGAAATGGTTCTCCCGAGTGGCTAGGTCGCCATGCAATTATACGTGAAATCAATGGGCCAGGAAAGTTAGCAGGATATCGTTTTATGACGCAAGTACTACGACACGATAAGATTACAACATTATATTACTTTATAGTGCTACGCTGACAGACTAGAAGAGAGAGTGTATTAGAACAAAAGATCCAAAAGAATAGCAAGGCTTTAATATTGCTATGAGCATCAATTGAACCACAGCACTATGGGAGGAAAAGACATTGGCATTATCTGAAAT